ACACAGAGCGATCAAATGACAGCTCCGAATCAGGAAATCAATACACAAAGTCAACACATAAATCTACATCCAGAGGAGGTTCGCACTGCTGCTGAAGTATTGGCTGCAGCACATCTACATGTGTTTAACGCACCAAGATAAACTTTCCTCATGCAAGTATTTTTTGAAAAAAAGAGATATGGCACAGTATAATGAATATACTTTATTTTTAGTTACTTGTCACTAATCAGTAATAATTATACATTGGAGGTGAACACATCTTACTGCATGATATGGCATCATACAATGTAATAACAACTTTTTCTGTTGTTTTTTTTAAATTATTTCTCTTGAAAGATTGAAAGACTGCAAATACATTCAGTTTATTTCTACAAAAACCACTTGAACTTGAAAAAAGGGAACAATCGACCCTCGCATAAATTTGTTCAAATGAGCATTACATAATGTATTAATTATTCATTCATTCACAAACCAATAAACAAAAACTAGAACTGCGACATTGAAATAATAGCAAAGGCTTTGTTTAGACTAATTTTATGATTTACATACAACAAATAACCCCAAAGCAGCAGTCTGGGTGGCCACATTGTCCGCGTTTTTATGCGATTCATGTGTTGAACAATCTTTTTTGACTATTTCATTTTTTGTTTCTGTAAGATCTTGTGATATTTCCAAACACTAATGATCACTGCCTTCTATGAACACTACAATAGTTACCGGTAAAGCATTTGATTTCAGTACAGAGTTGTGTAACTTGTACAACTAGCTAATAAAGAATCTGGATACTGGACCTTCAGACAGGTTTCGAGTTTAACAAAGGTTTGGTTTATACCTATTTTACTTTTCATTGTGTAGTAGAGGCAATTGCAACAGACTGGTTCCACTGTATAAAGACTCGTACATCAAGAAATCTAATGGTTTCTGTTTTCAATGTTTTTAATGCATCACCTGCTGATGTTTTCTCATTTTGTAAAAGCGTGTATTGTTTGATAACTAAGCAATGTCTACCACAATTCTAGCTTGTTTGCTCATAAAATATAACACCACGTTGCTGTCAGATTAATTGCTTTATACTGGCAATTGTTGATTTTTTTTATTCTCACTTGGGAGAAAAACAAACAAATGCAGTAAGATGAATTGAACCCCCTAAGAAACAATGTTTTTTTATTTTATTTTTGATTATGGGTGTATAATATATGCCACAGCTCTTTAATTTGTGCATACAATCGTGATGTGTGCAGCCGCTTCTGATTTTATCCACCTTGGGTATAGTTTGTTATTCACAAAATTATATTGATGATATTAATGATGCAATTTGTGCTGTTAGGTTTTATGTATCAGTAAAATATGTCACATTACATATCACTATAAATTGTGATTAACAGTTGTGATTAATAAATATACAAATAAAATTATAGATATTTCACAATTCAAAACTTAATGTCACCATTTTTTTAATACTGTTCTGAAATTATAAATATTCCTTGCTTTTTATATATACTATTATTTAAATAATTTTTTGTAAATTTTATAACTTTGTACTCCTTTCATTGTCTTCTGAAAAAAAATACAATTATTAGAATGAATATTATTATTAATTATTGTAAAATTGCTTGTCAACCCTATCAAGTTGTACAAAGTTGTTTCACTTTAAATTGAATGTTTAATAGTTTAAAAGCTTTCCATTTCAGCTGTCGGGGTTCCCATACATTATGTATCAATAACAAAAATACACAATGCCATTGTAATTTCTCAAAATTGTTTTTCCGTATTTTATTTCATATTTGGCAAAGGTTAATATGAATATATTTAGTGAAAGTTTTAATTTATGCAAATTAGTTTATTTTATTTTTATTTTATGCAATATTTTCTCATTCTCAATGTCTGTATTAAATATGATGTATGA